AAAAAAAAAAAAAAAAAAAGAAACCGAAACGTATGACTATTCAATGCAGCAACTAATTACAGCAAGTCCAGCAGAGGGGGCTTCTCATTTTTCGATTTCACCTGCCCGTACAGTGATACTCCCCTCCCCAGAGGTGGCGGGGCAAGCCTTGGCGCAATATTACTCGCGTTCCTGTTAGAAGCAAATATTGAATCCAAACTCGCATTGGAAGATGGAACAATTGTATTTTGCTTCATATACCCAAGAGAGTTTTGCAAACCCATATTACTACCAATACTCGAAGATGAACTAGTTCCTTGAGTCGTTCCAAAGGCCCATGATGAAGATTGATAGCTCAAGCCATTGGCAGTATTTGTGATATTAATGCTGGGTTCGAAACTGTTACTACTCGACAATGCTGGCGTGCCATTATTGGAAACACTCGGTGGCCAGTTGGCAAAAGGATCTATTTCGTCCAGGCCTGAATTGGTCCCGTTCGGATTTGTCAAATTGCCAAATTGAGTACCGACAGACATCGCGGATTGAGGCGGCCACTCGACATCGACGGCTGGGCAAGACGAGGGAGGCGGTTGCTGGGTGAAGGCAACGGATATTGGCCGGAGTGTGGAATATCCGGTGGGGCTGACAGCACTGAAGGATGAGAAGCTGATGCTGTGGTTGAAGACTGGATGGGTGTTTGGGCTGTCCTTGCAGGTACCCAATCCTCGTCCCAAGATGTAATGCATCTGGTAATAGATGGGGCGGTGGAAACGTGTTTGTTTATCTGCCCAGATGTAAGATCGTCAACCGAATTTGACAATCTCATTTCCGATAATCTGTTGTCTGTCAAGGTTACACCTCGTTTTTCTTCAATTTTTATGTTAAACAGAATGGTAAAATCAAATTTTGGAAAAAATTAGATGCACAAACATGCACGTCAGGATAGAAAGATGACAACTGAACACCATATATTAGGCAAGTGTAACAAGTAGCATGTATTGTCTGAAAGGTGGCAATCCTACCTTAACACATCCTTGACAAAAGCCATATACTTTGCAAACTGCTGGACATTTAATTGTTGGGTGATGAGAAGAGGTATGATTAGTGGAAGGACATGCTCCGCTACAAATTTCTATGCCATACTGGTACAAAGAACATAAAATGACCACGGTAAATCACTAGTGCGTATGATTGTTCAAAACTATATGAAATTAGAGTATTGCAGAAAATCACAGCGTAATTACAAATATGCGAACCATGTCAGCAAAACATACGAGAGCATTCACTCTCACCTGTCGAAAAAGAGGTAGCTTTTAGAGAAATGTAGACTTCATTCATTTGGAACAGAAAATAGCCTAAAATTTACATTTTTTTTAATAATAAAATAAAATTCTGGAATAATATTGGGTTCCATATACATCTGTGTGGTCAGGAATTAATAAGAAACAAGGTGGCATACCACAGCAACTGTTGTTTTAAGTGCCAAGCCATGAACACGAGGCAAAATAGTTTGCTTCACTAGCTGCAAGGAAGAAAAGAAACAGAGAGAATGAGAAATTAACAAATAATTAGCATCAAACCACATTGATGCTGGTTTGGTTCCTCATGAGAAGTCAATCGTATTGAGGGTAACAGTACAAGCATATCGCAAATTTCACATGCTCTTGTCATACTTCCATCTAATCTCATCAGAGGCGTCACAATTGATGAGTAGAAAGCTCATCAATCAGAGTTGAACTAGCAATCACCTGGACGTCAAGTTGTTTCGCAAGCGGTGTAGTTTTTCTGAGAGCTTCCTCTTGCAAACGAGCATCAGTATCATCATAAGCTCGAATGAGCATGTGTAGTACATGCAAAATAAGGTGCTCTTGACTAGCCTGACAGGCAAAACAAAAACAGGACCCCAAGATAGCTATAAATTCTCATTGCTTACAAAGAAAAAAAAAAAAAATTCAATGTCAAGAGTGAAAATGCAACTAAAGAAGTCTTCCAATACCTTGTTGATAATAAGCTCTGCATGCTTCACAAGTAGCAATAATGTCTCACCTGCAGCTGAATTGAAAACAGGAACAGAAGCTGGTAGAGTTGATAGCTCAAAATCATTTTAATCCTGCAGCAAACTGTAAAAGCATACTCAAGCCCAATGGTAGCCTCAGAAAATCTTCAAACAATTTCATGTATAGTATAATTAGATGTGGTGCAAGGGAACACACAAGCACACCGGATAATTAGACTTAAGTTTCACATATATCATAAATGAGGCAACAATAGGCATGGATTCATTTTCCATACATTAACCATCAATAAGAAACAATGTTACATTGTCCCTACACTATTCTTGTTTTTCTTTCTTTTTCACCAACTTCCAAGGAAAGAATCAACTTAGCTCCTAAACTACAAATTTTCAAACTAAGCATATTAAAATCCTATAAGTAACATTATTACCCATGTACGAAATGTATAGAAATATTAACTTGCACTTCAGTAGTAAATGCAATAGCATCGAACCTGCGACTCAGCTATAGTGAGGACCATAGGCAGAATCATAGGCTGCATCACCATATTTCGGAGCTCTGCACAAAGTGGGGGTAGGACCTGTATGTTTTATTTTAAGCCAAAAGTTTATTTTATTAAACTTCTTCAAATGTGATGACAGATACAATCAAGAAAAGTGTAAAGATATATTCATACTCGCTCACAAACAATGGAAACCACATAAAGATTTATTTTTGTCTAATACATCAAGTTCAGGTTCAGAGTTATCCAAATCAATATTGAATGCATTTTCATCTTCCATCATTTTATGTTTTACACTCAAAGAGCATAAACAAATATGCCACCACAGTACGACATGACCAAACATGCATACCAGCATACCTTATATCGCAAAGCACGAGAATCAAAATCCTTCCACATGTCCGCTAATGCTTTCAGAACCTCAGATTTTTGCATGTTATCTCTCTCCTGAAAACAATAGCATGATCAGATTTCACAGTTTAGAGTTGCATCGTGTGCCTAATTTAATAAGTCAAAACTGAGCAGGAATGTAAACTGCGTACAAGCATGTGATCAAGGAAGCGAAGTGCTCGCAACCTAGTATCCTGACGGAAGAAAGGCAAACCTGCAAACACAGAACAGATATCTAGAAAAGATAACTAAAACATTTAGCAAATGTTTAGCTTGCATCTTAAGACTCAGACTCAGATCAACGAAAATAATTATTATCTAAATAAAAACAAAAATGAAAATAAAAAATTACATCAGTTAGTCTTCATTCCAACTGATTTCACCATACATGCATGACAGGAACTACGTACATCTAGTGATGGGAAACACAAGGAAAGAACTATAACCAACATGCACGGAACCCAACCTGTAAAATCTATTGCTGTTGGTCGTGAAGTCTCATTTGCCGATAGCATTTTTTGCAAATCTGGAACCAGATCCCTTAGAATAGTGGAGAAAGCTTCACTGGTTAGGTAAGTAGACTATTCATATACTGCAAAATGAAAATGGTAATCCAAAAATAAGATTTACTCACCTAGCGAATGGAAAGCTTATCAAAAGCAAAATTCAGAAAAGACAAAATTAAACATATTTCTCAGGACAAGTAAGCTCATCTCATCTGAATTCCTGAGTCGAGTATACTACATTTTGTTTGCTGTTAGTTACTTTTTCACAATAAATCTACTTAATTATGGAAAAAAAAAAATGATGGAAGAAGAAAATTTATGAATAAATATGCAAGATCATGAGTAGCAATTAACTAAAGAAGTATGAGATACTAAACCAATGCTATAGATTCAAAACATATAAAACTAGAAATATATCCGCTCCAGTCAAATCTAGAAGGCTAGACATAATTCATATAGTTTTTCAGTTGCTAATTACTTCTGAGACCATAAAAGTAAATATATCACGTTAGGGTCTAGAGATTGAAAGTGTTTGATCACTATACAATTAGTCAATTAAAATTAGCAGAATAGATCATAAGGCAAGCTCAGCTATCTTCGCAGATAGTGCAACAAAATCATTCAGCGACACCTCATACAAAAATTTAAGGGAAATAAAATATACAATTTTCACATTGTTGTGGCAATCAAATAAAGGCTTCCGAGCTAGCACGTGGTAAGCAAGGCACCCAAAACTGAAAATATTAGAGGCAGACCAATAGAAGATGTCTTACTTCGAACCAATTCAGGAGCAGTGTAGTTTATTGAATTCGAACCAATTCATGAGCAGTGGGCAGGATTGAATCTTCTACATCGTATTCCTGTTAAAACCAAATCAAGTTCGACAAAGCCAAAAATTAATCGAGTTGTATTAAAGCAGACAACATTGAGGAAACAAAAATTAACAACCAGTCAGAGGACATTCTCATGGCTGACCAAAGCTACAAAAATATGGAAGAACCAAGTAAGATAAGAAACTCTCTCACTCAAGCAAATGAAGACAAAGCAGATGCACTAGTTAAAGATAAAA